CGCAGGGTGAATATAGTTATGCGTGGCTCGTATTTTTCATGAATGCAAACCCACCCAGGCAACAGGCATACCGTCGGTGGGCTGTCGTGACAGTGCTGTTCTTTACTATCTCTGTGTGTGCACCCAAGCGTGCCCGCTGTGCAACGTGATGTGATGACGAGTGCGCAACGGCCCAAATGTAATGTAGATGAGGCGATATGCTGCCATTAGCGTGGTGATGGTGTTGCGATGTGTATAAGGGGCGTATAGCGGGAATGAGGGGGGATGTTGCATTGTGTATACTTGGTGCAGCAGTGAGTAGGTAGCGGGGAGAAGGCGGGCTTAGGGACAAGGGGGCAGAGGGAGGGACAGTGTGAGAAACGTGTGAGAGACCGTTGTTGGTTCTCGGCCTGAGCTGCGAGGGCAGGCGGGAGGGGCGGGATGCATGAATAGAGATATTATTTTGAGGAGAAAGTGTGAATAGCATGACGTCGGGGGGTGGGGATGCTAGGTGTTGAGAAGCGGGGGGGTTCGGGGGGGGCGCAGCCCCCCCGATTGTTTTGAAAACAATGCGAGAAGATAGCGGGGAAGGGACGGCAACGATCTAGGGCAAGCACGGTAACAAAGTATAACAGACTCTGCCGACGTCGCTCACGTGGCGCTACCATGGCGTCGGGGGGTGGGATGTCAGGTGTTGAGAAGCGGGGGGGGGGGGGTTTGGGGGGGGCGCAGCCCCAGCAACGAAATGTGACAAACAAGGCACCAAAGTACAACAGACTCTGCCGACGCCGCTCACGTGGCGCTACACTCCGAGGTATCTCGAGCGTCAACACTCGTGAACGCAGCTCGGACTAGCATGCTCCTTAGCTTAGGTGCTGCACGAAAGCTGAGGAAGGGCTGTTTCGGGCACAAGGTCTCTAGTGCTGCCTTACTCATCTCCGAGCGGAGTAGAGACCTCACCTTTGGGTGTTCGAGATTAGGGTGGTATTCGAGCACAAAAGGCAGCACTCTGCCGTCTCGTTGCTTACCCTTCTCTGATCGTTGCAGGAGTGTATTGCGGTCGCTGTACTGTACCTCATCAAAGATCTGCTGGATGAATTTCGAGTGGTAACCGCGCGCTCGCAGACGCGCTGCGAAGGATGATTTCATCATTTGGAAGCCTCCCTCGGATGACTCCCGTAGGAGGTATCGGTATAGCTCACCAATGATGAATCCTCGTTTGCAGTGTCGCGGGTGCGCCGATCGGAAAGGGAAGTACTGATAGACGTTCATCGGTTTCTGGTACACCGAGGTGTCTAGAAAACCGCCTCTCGCATCTTCCCCTCTCGTCGACTCCCACTGCTTACCCTTGGTGAAGGTGATGTCAAGTAGCGTGAACGATGTGGCGCTGATTTCTGTAGTGATGCGGATGCCGTCCATGAGGCTGTTGTAACCTTCTATCCATTGGTGTAGTTCTGCTAGCGATCCGGTCCAGACTACCAGTCCGTCGTCGATATAGCGCCTGTGTAGTAGCACATGCCTCGACAAGGACGGGTACTGCTCTTCCATGCGAGCGTCTAGCCAGCTCATGAAAAGAACTGCATAGATCACTGCTACTGGAGTACCCATGGCTGTACCGCGGATCTGTCGGTAGAACTTCCCATCGAACTGAAGGTGATTCTGTGTCATGACTAGCTCTAGCAGCTCACAACACGCGCTGAGCTGCTTGGCGGTGCCTGTCTCTGGCCAAACTGGATAGCTATGCATGCATACGAATTTATCTTTCGTTTCCCGGATGGCAGCTAGGCCTTGCTGGAGTGGGATTGATGGGTAGAGGCTCTCAACATCGTATGTGAGGAAAATGGCATGCTCGGGTATTGGAAGGGCACGCAGTGTGTGCAGCAGAGTGATTGAGTCTGGCAGGTGGGCTGGTGCCAAAGCCAGCAGCGGACGCAGATAGTGGTCTAGCACCTGGCTGGCATGCTCAAAGATCCAAAGGGTAGAGGAACAGATCGGTCTCCCTTTGACAGGGTCTTTGTGTAATTTAGGCAGCAGATAGAATCTGCAGACTCGAAATTGTGTAGGGTGTATCTCGGTGTCATGCTCGCAGCCCGCTTCTGTGCGAAGTTCAACTCTCGGCTGTAAGATGTACTCGATGGTTTCCTTGGGAAACCTATCTTTGTACCTTGAGCACCAAGTGTTGAGGTCCTCGCACAGGTTGTCCATGGGTACCGTTGCGACTTCCTTGTACGTTTTATTGTCGGATAGTTGTCTGAGCGCCTCGTCTCGATACCACGATGCATCTAACAGGGCGAGACCTAGGTTCTTATCCGCTGGCTTAACCACTACCTTTGGATTCTTCCCCAACTTTTTTAAACACCGCAATGTTTGCTCGTTCATGTTCCTGCGAGCGCGGCGCGTCATCAGTGGGAGGCGGTCGATCACCTTCCTCTCCACCTCAGCGATGTATCGCTCTATAGCAGGGGGAGCAGGGTCGGGCATCCAAAATGGGTTGCGAATACGGAAGCGTGGAGCTGGCTTGTCGGATGAGAATTGTGCGGTGAGCCTCACAGTTCTCGTGAACCTCGAGAGTGCGCTCAAGATAATTTGCTCTGTGGGGGGTGAAGGGGTCGGTATGAATGAGAGCCCTAGGCTCAATCCTTCAAGTTCTGTGCGTGAGAGGGCTAGTGCGGATCTGTTGTGGATGAATTTAGAATTGAGATCATCCTGCAGTATAACCTGAGGTGTTCGAAGGAGACGTTTTTGGGCGGGGGTCAGTGGTTTCGACGTTTGTTTGTTTCTGGGTCTTGAGCGGGGTCGTTTACAGGCGTTTAGAGGGGCGCTCACCTCAGGGCTGGGGCTGCTCCCACCCGCTGTAGACTGCGGTGTGGTGGGCGAGGTGCTGGTGGTTGGGGTGTCAGAGGGTCTCAGTGGACAGTTGGTGGGTTGGTTTGCTGCACGCGGTAGCTTTGAGGTAGCGGTGGATTGTAGGTAGGGGATGTGTGATGGCGTCTCCCAGTGGTTTTGCTGGTGGTTTGAGGTAGGCAGGGTCATGCGGGCGTACCTTTGGGTGAGGCTATTGGTTGTGGAAGTGCGTAGACGAGTAGTGTGGTCCGTGCTGTTTGGGGAGGGGTGGAGGGGGGAAGTCAGCCTAAAAAATACACCGGCAGAGCATGGGCGGCAGAGGTGTTGTTGAGATTAGAATGTGTCCCCGCTCCTTCTGGCTGTCCGATTCTCACAGCGGAATGGGCTGCTTGAAATCCTTGGGTGATCTGCTGGGGAGGGGGAGCAAGAGGCGCATAGGCATATGCTGGTGGTGCGGGTGTTGAGGACATGACTGATATGTTTGAGAGTGCGGGCTGAGCAGGTGCCAACGCGGGCTGAGAGGGGATGACGTGCTGAGCCAAGAGGAAGGGCTGCATGTGGGGCATCATCTGGCTACCGTTTGCCAGGGCAGGCTGCTGGGCTGTGAAGGGATATGTGTGGTACATGCTGTGAAGTGGTGGGGCGGCCATGAGGGTGTATGCGGGGAACATTGCTGGTGTGGATGCCTGCGGGGCAGGTTGGGCGGGGGGATTGGCATGTTGTGTGCCTTGCGCTTGTGCTACCTGTGCATAGTCACCCGTGCCTTGCGTCGGCTGAGCCGCGCGTTCGGTTGCATGCCCGGGGTCTGGTAGCTGCTCTGTCTGTACAGGCTGCCCCTGACCCAACTGGGTGCTTCCCGGCCGCTCCGTCTGCCTATCACCTCGCTGTCCTACTCTTTCCTTGTGCCCCCCCTGCCGTGCTTGTGTTGGTGCTCTCTGTGATGTGTTCGTGCCTGTGCGTGCTGCTGGCCGTCCGTACTGTGGTGGGGCCTGTGGTGCCATGCGGATAGCGTAGTGCTGCTGCCACGGTATCGGTAGTGCTGTGTGGTCTGTCCCCATGCCAAGTTGCCTGGGCAGGTTTACCTTCAGGCCACGCATAGCTACCTTCACCGCTGCAGCAGTCTCGGCGAGTGCTGCAGATTGCTGCAACGCCCCTGCTGTCGCCTGCCCGCGTCCTCCCCTCCGTGCGCCATCCATGTGCCGCTGAGGTGGCGCTGCCGCTGAAGGGCGTGCTGCCGTTGCCTCTGTCACTCTTTGTGCCGTTGCTGCCGGTGCCCTGACCGTGATGGCTCCTGCCCGTGCTGCACTTGGTCCTGCCGCTGGTGCTCCCGTCACTGCTGCCCGTGGTGCTGCTGTCCTGGCTGCTGCTGGCTCTGCCGGTGTGCTAGACGTTGCCGGTGCGGCAGCGTGTTCAGCTACCGTAGCGGCTACATCTGCTGCCGCTGCTGCACTCGTACCTGCCCGTGTCACTTCCTTCCTGCCACCAGCCCCTTCTGCCTGTCCCCCAGCCTCTCCCGTTTCATCTCCATGCCCTGCTGTTGCTGAGACAGCTGCCTCACCTCCCGTGGCTCCCCCTGCTCTTGTTTTGGTGGTCTGCTGGTCGGTGGCTTTGGTACGGTTTTTCCTTTTCCTTGATTCCCGTTGACGTCGGCGCCTTCTCTGCCGTGCGGACTGCCCCGAGACTGGTTCTCCCTTGCTGCTTGACTGCCGGTCCTCTAAGGCCTTGAGTCGCTGCTGCAGGGGTTCCAGGCCCTTGTTCATCACCGCATGCACCAGCTCCAGTAGGGTCGTTGAGGGGCTGGTTTGGATATCCTCCAGCCTTGCCTGTTCAGCTTCTGCTTTCTCTCGCTTTGCTGCCACCTTGGCCCTCGCTCCTCGGCTGCCCTGTACCCACACCGCATGGAACATTAGCTCCCTAGCTATGCCCCGTGCGAGGTAGTCGGCAGCTAGCTCCCCCAAGTAGTCGTCGGCAGCAGGGGTACCAGCTGCAGATCGACGCTCGAAAGCCTCTAGAATTTTCTCGAGGAACCCTTCGAAGTGTGTGTGTGTCCGCGGCTCCCATAACCCTGCTGCCTTCTCCCACACAGCTTTCTCTTTCTCCTTGTAGAACAGCAGCGTTGTCTGGGCTTTGGTTTTGAAGGTTTTCACCTCCTCTCCAAGCGCGTTATTCAGCTGCTC